CATGTGCTCTTGACATGATGCCAACTAAAATGTTCAAAAATGTTTTTAGTTGTATGGTGGAGGATGTTCTTGACATTGTTAATGTCTCCCTACTTTCTGGAACTTTCCCCTCATGTCTCAAGCACGCTGTTGTGAAACCACTGTTAAAAAAAAATAATCTTGATCCACTGGTTTTTGACAACTACAGACCAATATCAAATCTTCCATTTCTTGGGAAAATACTTGAAAAGGTTGTTTACCAACAGTTATATCTGCATCTGTCAAATAACAATCTGTTTGACACTTATCAGTCTGTTTTCAGAGTAAACCACAGTACTGAAACTGCTCTGATTAGAGTAGTGAATGACCTCAAAATTAGCACAGACAATCATAAAGTCTCTGTTCTGGTACTTCTTGATCTAAGCGCAGTGTTCGATACTGTGTATCATGAAATTCTTATTCAACGTCTTGAACACTGTGTAGGCCTTAAAAGTACAGCTCTATACTGGCTTTCTTCTTACCTCACTGGAAGATCTTTCTCTGTGTCCATCGGTAATTTTGATTCAGATAAGATAAGCATTCCATATGGTGTCCCTCAAGGATCGATTTTAGGTCCTCTCTTATTTAATATGTACATGCTTCCTCTTGGGTCCATTATTCAGCAATATAAAGTCTCATATCAGTCATATGCTGATGATACACAGCTATACATATCGGTTTCTGCCAATGAACATGACCCTCTGAACAATCTCATCCAGTGCATCTCAGATATCAGTTCCTGGATGAGCAAAAATTTCTTACAGCTTAATCGGGACAAGACAGAGATTATTGTTGTTGGTCCTAAGGCCCTGAGGCATGAAATTGAATCCCTGCTTACTCCCTTATCTGTTCAACCAAAAACTTAGGTGTGGTTCTTCATGCCAACCTCAACTTCCACAAGCACATCTCTAATATATCTAAGACAGCATTTTATCACTTGAGAAATATTGCAAAAGTTAGATGTTTTTTTATCCCAATCAGATTCTGAGAAGCTGGTTCATGCTTTTATTTCTAGTGGACTAGACTACTGCAATGCCCTCTTTGCTGGACTGCCAAAACAAACATTAAACAAACTCCAGCTTATTCAGAATGCTGCTGCTAGGGTACTAACAAAAATCAAAAGGTCTGACCATATTACCCCGATTTTATCATCACTACACTGGCTCCCAGTAAAACAAAGAATTGATTTTAAAGTTCTTCTTATTGTTTATAAATGTTTTAATCAGTTAGCTCCCTCCTACATTTCTGACATGCTCACTGAGTACGTACCAGAGAGATCCCTTAGATCATCAAACAAAGGTCTCCTCACAATACCCAGAATCAACTCCAATTCAGGTTTTGGTGCCTTCAGTCATTATGGTCCCACTCTCTGGAATTTGTTGCCAATTGAACTATGGTTTGCTACTTCAATGTCTTCTTTTAAAAGCAAACCTAAATCATATCTATTCTAATCATATGTACTGAAGTTCTGCAGGTGGTTTGTCCGAGTGGTGTTGCCGTACCTCAACAGAAGCTGTAGTTCAAACAGCCAATACATTGTGAGCACATTTCACCCACTAGCTTTGCATGAAGTCAGGATCTGTTCATGTTCCCATCTGTTGTCGATGGGAAACTTATTACTGTAACATGAACCAACAATAACGCTTCACTTGTATGAAATGCATCATAGTAAAGTTACCTGTTAATTAGACACACATTCGTCCAGCACCTAACAATGGTGCTCATGGACATATTCAGCTGATGTTAGTGTCTTTATGACTTTATATTTGTCAGATAGTCCACGCAATGTCAGAGTAACGTGTCAAAAAGCTTAATTTATTGCATATTCCTATGGTACACTGTACAGCTCTACTTGTTTGTGATAATTAATATGATAGGAAACAAGTTTTAAAATTGTTAACCCCCCCCCCGCTGACTCCATGGCTACAGCCTGGTAATATGAAACATGCAACATATTCATGGTGTGCATAAATATACAATGCCAGTGTGTTCCTCTGATGCCTGGGCTGCCAAGCATCCTTTTAAAAGGTAGAGGAAGAGGGGAAATTGTGGAAACCTGTTGACATGCTGCTTGGTCTCCAGTTCTTTTCATGTCACCTGGGAGGAAGTAATGCAGTCTAAGACAAAAGGTCCCGCTATAAATCTGTCAATAAGGCTGTTACATTCAGTTTTTGCTGTTTCAGAGAAGTTGATTCAACTTTATGGCCACTTTGGAGGATGTAGTTTGTGGTGCTGTTGAATTATATTGAGTCTCCAGCCTGAGGGGGACTCTAGTGGTGTGTACCTCTTGTGTTTGGTTTGATGGCTGCCAGTACCAGACACAAAAACTCAGTCCTACCGTGGTGAGGGGGAGTTTGTGTCCACATAATCTCTCAAGACAGATTCTGCAATTTACATGGAGAATCTGTCGGCAGCCCTGTGTGAAAGACGACTAGAGAGGGGGGGAGGGCGGGGCTTTGAGTTTGAACATGCTGCACTTTAGCCAATTGCAATGGAGGGGGCATGGCAGAGACGTGCAGGTGTCCCCAGGAAATACGTACCTACAGAAACAGCAAGCTCTGCATCCATAGCAACCGCTCCACCCAAAACGACATCTCGTCAACGTGAAAAAAATATTTTTTCCAGCGAATGTCTTAGTTACAACATGATTGAGCTAACTGGAGTAGTTTCATGTCGTATCCGACAACGGGAGGCTTTTAACAGATGACGTCCTGATGTTAGCTTTGCCAACTGTCCCTGTCAGCTGCAGCCACTGATGCTTTCTAGACATCGTGATTTCCCAAAACTGAATAAATACCACACATAGCAACACAAAACTGCTTTGCTAGCTCAATCATGTTGTAACTAAGATATCCGCTGGAAAAAATATTTTATTCACGGACCATTTATTGAGTTATTACCTTATTTTTATACAGTCCATGGTTATTACAGACATGGCTAACGGCTAACGTTAACAGCTAACGGTTAGCCCAGCTAATCTATGATAACCATGTTATTAGTTACAAAACGTGCACACAGAAATAGTAATGTTTGTTCAGTCATTGTGTTTATAGACTTAACAAACATCAGATTAGTCTACACGGTGATATAGTGATGTGAAAAATGTGATATATAGCTAAACTCTGCTGGTTTTCTACTCGAAGTATTTGTAAACAACACAACGATTCCCTGGGGGCATCACCGGAAGTGAAGGGCGTGAGCGATCGCCGAGGCCCCTTCACTTCCGTTAGTCGAAAAACTCCGGGCTGTGCCTCCAGAGGTAAAGGAAGAAAAAAAAAGTTTTTTTTTTTTTTTAAATCGATGGATTTCCAGATTGGTGTCCACGTGAACACTGAACACCAACCTTTGCTGGACACTCTCTTCTTTTTAAGCGGAAGTCTTGCCTTCAAGAAGACAGATTTTACTGGGGAGTTAGTGGGAACCAGTCTTTCTGTCTTTAATGCTTAATTGAAATATAGTTTCCAAAAGGTTTTGTCCTCTGGGAGGATGAATGCGCCCAACAAACTGTCAAAAACTCAGTACACTGCATACGTAGACTGCGCTCTTATATGTCAGAGTCCAAACAGAAGTAGTCTGTGATTCTAACATGGGAAACTGGATGTTTGTTTACAGTGAGATTCAAGCTGCATCAGGGGGTCAGTCCCAGTCAAAACAGCCCGGTGTCCTGGGATTGGACCAGAACATAAACAAGCTGTCCTTGAATCAGCTTATTGGACAATTGTCCCGAGACATGCTGGGGTCCCAAAGGACAACAAGACATATGAGTGGACAGAAAAGCAGAGGTTTGACGGAGAAACGCCCGGGTCAGCTCACAGAGTGACTCAGCAGAGACGCTTTTTCTGTTTCCATCTCTCAGCTGGCTGTTTGGTATTTCTCAGTAGTAACACAGCAAGTGTTTCATCGGCTTATTCCAAACTCAAAGAAGCTCACAACTGTCCTGGAAAGTATTGAAAGTTATTGATTTCTCAATTTTTTTCTATACGAGCAACAACTGACAGGGGGGTCTGGTCTAATGTTTCTCAGAATTGTAGATGTGATGTAATGAAATAATGAGTAAAATTTAGGGATGAGAATCACCAGAGGCTCCATGATATGATATTACCACGATGTTTTCATCACAATATTCTAATATTATACAATATAATTTTTTTTCGATGTTGTTATTCAGCAGTCGCATGGCCTAAAGTGGTGGAGCTGGGTGAGCGAAGCAAATGTGTCAGCCACAGTGGCCGCCATTTTCTGTCTTTTGCAGAGTATGATGTCGCCTCTTGCATTCAAAAGTTTGCAGGTCTGTGAAGTGTGTGACGCATGAATGGCATAAATATTAGCACTGTTTGTTGCCATGGAGGCTTTCCGAAGGTTTTGTCGCAGCCTGAATTGTTCTGCAGCAGACACTGGATAAAGACTCTCCATGTCTGAAACAAGAGGAAGCTGGTCGGCCCGAGACGCCGGTTCCTCCTATTTTACCTCCGCCATGTTTTCCTGACTCCCCAACTGAGGGAAACAAAAGGCTCTGAATCAGCTGGAACAAAGGGATTCAAGACACGTGTGTGTGTTTCGGTGCTGTTTACCTAGATTGCAGTCTGAAAGTCCCCCGTGCCTGTTTTCATGTGCCCATAAAGTTTAGGTTCCTGTCTTCCTGCAGAGGAAGGAAGAACAACAACTAAAACCCCACAAAAAATCATCTGTTTTTTTCTTTTTTCTCTTTCATTTTGGTTGGCAAACAGACAGCAGGATCCATCAGCATCTGTTGGCACCCGATTATAAACTTTTGCTTCCTTTGCCAGCATTTTCCCAGATGAGTAAAACGCTGAGCTTACACCCACGTTGGCAGTCGGCTCATCAGCCGTGGTCTTTGCATTGTTTTCAGGTGCTCTCAGTGCCTTCAGCAGAGGGTTCCCATTACCATGATGATTAGCTACGCCTACCTAAAAAAGTTGGCACTATATTCTGTTGACTTTGTGTTTTGTTTGCTTCTCCAGGTTATCCTCGATCCAAGTTGTGTCCTGAATTGCCAAAACCAGCAGTGCCCGGATGAGCAGACACAAGGTGGGAGACACTGCGTCTTTGTTTTTGTGTCAGTGCCAGTTTTGGCTTATTTGTGCCAATCTGTTTGTCTCTCTGTCTGTCTGTCCGTCTTTCTGTCTTTCTGTCTTTCTGTCCATCCATCCAAGTCAAATAGAGGATTTGCGTCACAATCCAAAACAAAAACATCAAGCACAATATGAAGGCGGAGTTAAAGCTTTGAAACATGTTTTCCATGGAACAGGAAAGCAGACCAGACCTTCATCAAAAAGCTTTTTAATCAGCAGCAAACATTTGTAGAGTGAAAACAAAATGGACTTCTTGGCTTTTCTTTTCCTTCAGCTCACATCGATGCTTCGACTCTGACAGTGTTACAGATACAGTGCTACGCAGACTCACGACAGATACTAGAGCCTCACATACCAAGAAGTTTAAAACTACCGTACCTTATTTAAAATGATTATAAAGTATGACAATAACGGCACCTTTGAAAGCTGAGAATCAATCACAGTTGAGTTGTTGAAAGATCATTCACTTGAACTTTAAACATCAGGCCCAGTCTCCCCTTCTGTCAAATGACTAATTAATAATTATATTAGTAATCTTTTGAAAGTGCTTAAACATTTTTTGAATCAGTATTTAAAAATGCGAGATAAAAAAATCCAGTAAATGATGCTGTCCTACTTTAATCACAAAGGTATCTTGACTGATTAGTAAGAAGTCAGAAGTCAACAGCTGGTCTGTGATTGGCTCAACACAAAAGAGAATAGCTTCATAGAAAAGCTGATGCTTCTTTTTTAATGAGCAGCATAAACCTCTTAATTTCAGATTTATATTAATATTATCCCTTTTTTGTTTGAACTAATAGTTACATGGCAAGAAGAGATTTTTTATTTTACATGGCAGCAACTCCATCTGCACAACTCTGAGAATGCATCATACTACATGAGCTAATTGTGTGCTTTAAATAGTCAGTAAAAAATACTTCACCCAACAATTTGCATTTCAGTTACTCACTGTGTGTTATCTTAAATTCCTTGAGAGAACTTTGTTTTTCTGGCATGCCTCCATGGTGAATGAAGAATCCAAAAAAGGCGAATGTTTCTTCATGAATTGAAGTAAACGGGAACCATTGTTAACAACAGCAAAACTTTACCAAAGCATTCATTTACAGACTCTCACTCAACTCGTGCAGTGTAATCCAAGTCTCCTTTACCCAGTCATATGCTCAGTACTGTGGTGGCAGTTTCTACAAGACAAAACACATCGAGTCAGAAACTTGAGCCCCTTTTACACTGCCAGATTTTGGCGAATGTTGGGCTGTTTTGCCGGCAAACTGCGAGCGTTTAGACACACAGAGGCGAAATGGCGAGTTGATCCGAGGCGCCCAATTTTCTGCCGCGTAGGGGTAAACATATTGGCGGAACCTTTTTGGTTTAAAAAGAACGAGGTGGCCTTCCTTCACGGGAGGGGCTGTTGAAGACTTGTGGGAGGAGCTGTTGATGACGCCACACGTGCAAGCCACTGGCGGTGGATAAACAGGAAACAGCTGATAGCAGGAATTAACGAGCAGCTAGTAGCAAGAGGGAAACACAAACCTGACAGACACTGTAAAGATGAGCAACTGAGGAGACAAGGAATTGCGCGCCCTCCTTGACCTCACAAACGAAGAGGCCATTAACCGTCAGATGACGGGGACGGTGAAGGACGGGCCGACTTAAGAGAGAATCGCCAAAGGACTGACCAGCCGCGGCTTCCCTCCCACGTCACTGTTTACGTCACACGCTGAGCTACACATTTTGTTACTTGCTCACGCCCCCCATTGCCCCGAAAAAGGCACATTCTGTATAAACAAAAGTAGGAAGGCAGCATTTTGCTGCACTACCAGATTTTGTTTTTAAACTGCCAATGCTGAAAAAAGACTGATTGGGCTTTCCTGCAAATTTGCACAACTCCTTTTTAAAAAGGTCTTTGGACTCACCACAAACAGTCAAGAATGAGCCGAGTGCAAAGAGTGAGCCCTGAACACAGGAGTTGTCAGATACTTGCTGAGGTCAGGGATCTTCAACTAGCATCGTCAGAGGGGTGACAAAGCAGCATCTTATCTGGTCATGTCCTTTGACATCAAGTGAAGCACTCACAGCTTGTTACACACTGACAGAGAGTAAACGTCATGTAAGGCACTTGTGAGTGTGATATCCTGACAAGACATAAAATGCGAATTATTTCACATTCTTTCTTCTTTCTGCTTTGTGTTAAATATTGCAGTGATTTTACATAATTTCATAATGTCTCTTACATTGTTGATTATCTTTCGATTTTATTAATATTTCCCATTATAGCACTTTCAAACATGCATTTTTATTAAAAAGTCATGATTTGTAACATGTCAGTACAGTTTGGACTGTTATGCACACCCCTATATATTGTAACGTTTTAGCGTTGTAACATTTAGAGACTTAATTGTACTGCCCGAGTTGTGTGAGAGTTATAAACAGCTTTGGCATAATTCTGCTGTTGTTAAACGAGGCCTCCGTTTCCTTAAATTCATGAAGAATTAAATCATTTTTTAAGTTTTCCATTTAATATGTGCAACAAAACCAGTTTTCTTTACTACTTTAAGGTAACACACAGTGAGTTATTGATATAGACATGGTCATTTTGCAGGTAAGGTGTTCTTTAAAATACTTGAGTAACTGTACTTGGTTATTTCATTGTACCCTTTACCTGAGCTCTTGTTTTATGGCAGTTGTGTAGTTGTTGGAATGAATACAGAGGAAGAAAAACAGCAACACACGTTTGAACCTTTATACCTGTGTGCACCTCAATGTCTTAACCCTCAAACGACCCTTAAAAGAGGGCCAGACAAAATGTTCCCACCCTTAACATCTAAAACTCATATTGGTGCAAATAAAGATAGAAGTACACACACACAGAAACAGTGAGATTTAGAGGGGAAAAAGTAAAACAGAAAGTTTTCAAGGGTAGGAACAGACTGTTCTTCAATTAGTGTGTCTGAAACTGCTAAATGATCTTGAACTGAATGCTGTACTGGCCGAGGAACAAGTCAAACACTAAAGTGCACACAGGCTCACACACACAGACCTGCTTGTGCAAACTTGAATAATCTGGTAAGCACACTCTCTGGCCTGTCACAGTAACATTTTAAGGGAGATAAATGGATGAAAAAAATGTGACAGTGCTGGCACACAGCCAGGAGTGGAAAGAAACCAAGTGCGTTTACTCAACTACAACTTTCTGTTGCATGTTCATTACTTATACTCATGTACTGTACATGTCCATTTTGGGAAACTTTTTCTTCTCTTCATTTGAGAGGAAAAATTTGTTCTGTGCCGCTGTTAGTTTTTAGATTAAGATTTTACATTCAGCATCAGCATGTTGAATAAATCTTTTCAGGAACCATGAAAAACAGCCTTAATGACAATGTTATGTTTCTGCAAACCATTTACCCATTACATACATATATCAACGTTTACACAGTAATATATGAGCTGACTGTGTTCCTGAGGTGGTGGTGGATGGTGTGTTACCAAGGCAAGATGTCCGCCAAGCAGACAGACCAGCAAACAACACAGCGGGTTGTTTTTTTAGCCACTCGCTGTGTTTCAGGTGACTTTTATGCACCAAATGTGTGTGTTTTGGGGAACCGTCACTGTGTTTCTTGCAGCTTTTCAGACCCCTAACGTGAGAGCTGGTGCAGACCTGCAGTTTTCTTGGAGTTTGTTTCAGATATGTGCAGCATAAAAACTACACGCTGCTTCTCCATGTTTAGTATTGACTCTGGGGACACAAAGCCCACCTGTCCCAGATGACCTGGGAGTGTAGCAGAAGGTCAGAAATGTATTTGGGCCCTGAACCATTCAGTGCTTTGAAAACCAACAGTAGTAGTTTGAAGTTGATTCTCTGACAAACAGGAGGCCAGTGTAAAGATCTCAGAACTGTAGTGATGTGATCAACTTTCTTGGTCTTAGTGAGGACTCTGAAGCTGTCTGATTGTTGTTTTTTTTAGGGAGACCTGAGATAGTAGTCAAGTCTGCTGAAGATAAATGCATGGGCCCCATGGCTGTTTTTGCATCGGGGATGGTGTCACGCAAAGTGGTTGATTTTACAGAGACATTGCTGCCTTGCCTGGGTTTGCACCTTTTAGTCCGCCCACTCTGTTGAGTTCGAGTTGACTGATTTGTCTGGCATCGTGACATTAAACAGCAGTTTCTCAGTTAAAATAAAAAAACAACCAATGAGCCCTGCAGGTGGAGGAACGATTAGCCAGGAGGGACTCAGGCTGCTGTCAAGCAACTAATGAGAAGAAGTAATAACAATGGTGACTGCTGTAAATAAGGTAGACGCTGCTATTGAGGCTGTTCTAAATTGACATGTCTTCTTATTGCCCAACATCATCCTTTGTCTTTACTAACCCAGCAAAACGGTTAAGTTGGCACGGCACCCTGTCAGTGTGGACTTAAAATTATGTTAGATTCAGATGGATATGTGGATCTCTAGTGATTGGTTAGGGGAAATTCGATCCTCCTCCTTAGCAGAAATTGGTGACACAGTGCCAACAATTGTAACGCAGTTGGCAATTCTGACTGATATCAGGCAACATTGTGCCCCAAAACCAGGTATTTTAAGACAAAATTTGATCCTTTCCTAACCATAACCAAATGTTTACCGAAAGTTTAAACATACCTGCTACATAATAACATGGAAATGTAACACATTTCACACAAGAAACTAACAACTCCATATCTTTTTCTGACAGTTGGGTTGTTTAGAGAATTTGCTCACATTTATACAGAAGCATGTAATCCTTCTGCTCATCAAAAATTGGACAATTACAGGTCCAAGGTTTTTTTACCAACAGCAACAATTTAATACAATGCTAGAGTTTAGTTAGAGGGGTGACACAGGGCTCTGTACTGGTACCTCTGGTGTTTCCCACTAAAAATGTAACATCACTTAGGCATTTACAATATAAAATTCAAACTTTAACTCTTTAATAAGTTCTAAATGTTTAAAGAATGCAATGTAACTAAATATAAAATATGACTGCATCATAAGTCCAGTAAAACTGACCAATATAAGCATTGTATTTCTGTAATTATTTGTAGACTGGTAGCGATGAAACATCTAACATATTTTACTGTTAATAGCCTCCATGTTCATTTTTCCGTGGGTGAGTTTCTCTGTGATCAGAATGTAAAACATCAGACATAAATCACACATGAAGCCAAGGGAGGGTAAGATCAGTATGGTTTAATAATAAGATATCAGTGCAGAAACACAAACTTCTTATCGGGTTAAATTCCCCATATAGTAATAACAATGATAACAATATATGATAATAATAAGATCAATATGAATTTTTTAGCATATTAAAAAAATGCAGAATCAGCTAATATAACTGTACTGTATGACATGGACAAAAACAGAATACACGTAGCTCAACATGGATCCCATAAGGAAAAACAAAAACCCTGTTGTCACACGAGACACAAGAAAAAATGCTGATATTGTCTTTAAAGAGGAAGTGCAATGAATGGATTAACTCTGACATGTTTTGCCACTTTTGTTTTTGGGGGGGGGGGGGGGGGGGGGGGGGGACCCCTTCAAGCAGCACAGTGTGTTGAGCACTAGAACTGGTGATAAGCCTTCTGAGGTTTAAATAGAGAAGTGAAGCCCCGCCCATTTTTGGATAGCAGTCTCTTCGAGTTATTCTGTCTTTCTAAATAGCTGACACCTGTTCCTCTGTTCGGATATAAAACTATACCTCCTAAGAAGCTTTAAGACTCAGAGAGGTGTAGTTTGTGAATGCTAAAAATATAGTAAATGTTTTGTCGTGGTTAAAATGACTAGCTACACATAATCAACTTTAGATTGTCTGGCTGAAGCTTGTGCAGCAGAAGCTATCGTAAAACGGGAGCGGGACTTCACCTCTGTCTAGATTGATTTAAGTCAACTTCCATCTGGCCAACTCTGTTCACATACATTAACACAGTTTAGTTCAAATCTCATCAGTTGCTAAAAAGTCCATCTGAGGTGCTGATCTTCTTCCAAGTGCAAGCTTCAGAACATTTATTGTCATCCTAAAACCTCTTTGGTCTCCAAAAAAATAATGAAAATAATAATGATTTAAAACTTTGAACATGCTTTAAGGTGCTTTTCTGGGAACCTAATCTAAGTTTGATTTTTATGATTGATTAAAATACAGAGCAAAAATAAATTTTAAGTCTTTAAATACTATAAATAATCATTTAAAAAGGAATAGTTCAATGTGCAGGAAGAACTTCCAATGTTAGCAATGTTAAAAATGCCCTCTTGTGTCAAGTAACGCTCACATACAAGGAGAGGAAACAAAATTTGGCTTTCAGGTCTTAAAAGAAAGTGCAGAGAGAGGAGGAGTGGCAGCAGAAACAGATGAGGTAGATGTTGAGTGGAGGAGTTGAGAGATATGCGTCAGTGGGCAGGCTGAGCAGGGTGTATCTCCCTTTTAATGTCACTCTACTCGACATCTTGTCTTTTCACATCTCTGTAACTGTTCAAACTGTTTCTGTGCCCGCATCCTCTCTCAGGATCGTAACAATCTCCAGTCTGATTAAACCTCATGTGGCTTTGCTCAGCTCAGTTGCTAGAGGAAAATGTTGGCATTGTATGTTTCTGCAAATCAAGAATATGTCACATTTGCTGCTTTTCCTGCCGGGACAGAAGCACAGTAAGTGGTCGTTTCCAGCGGGGTTTGTGGCACCAAAACTGGGTGTTTTAAGCCAGAACATGATCTTTTCCTAACCTTAACCAATTGTTTTTGTGCCTACACCTTGCCATGTTAACAAAGCGCTGTTGAAGTGTTAAGTTTCATCGGATCTGCTACGTAACAATGAGCAAATGTAACATACCAGTGGTGTGCAGAAACGTACAAAACCAACATTTTTCTCTGTTGATTGGGTTGCTTAGCTGGTTTGTTTGTAGTTAACATTTAATCTCTTTAAAATCTGGGTTTTATTTTCATACATTTGGACAGTATTATCATCACTTATAACATTTCGGTTACCAATTTTGCTACCAGACAGCTTTGCACCATCCTTTCACTTCTGATACTGGGATTTATTTAAACAGCAGATTTGGTTCTCACCCTTCGAAACATCTGAATTATCATGTTGCTCCAATGAACTCCATTCCTGTGCTCTCAGTAACTGAGTAGGAACTAATGGCCAAAACCTTAAAAAAAAGATTGTTTGTCAAATTTTATATTTTAAAGCTTCTGTGCACATGTTTTTAAGGCAGGCCGTGCAGCATGTTGAGCCACTATTTATCGAACTAAAACTCAGGTGAATTTGCTTCGTGCGTCTGCAAAAGCAAGGCACTAACTCTGTGGGACACTGCTGTCCCCTCTGACCCGCACAGGAGAACTTTCACTGTCCAGTCAGATCTTTTTCAGCTAAACCTAAAACACCTACAAGCAGCTTCATCGACAGACAGTCAGGTCATGTGATGAGCTGGGGAATCCACATCCTTAAAAACCTTTTAATAATTTTGACTCGTCATCACCAGGGGGTCTACAGTGGGTTCTACTTTAATCTAAAAGGTTTCTATTTTATATTTCCTGACTAGGCTGTTGTTCTGTCTGGATCTAAGTGATCGATCAGAGGAGGCTACGAAGGAGCTGTTGGCTACAGACCCTGAGGGGTTGTTGTGAAAATCATCCCAACTGTGACACTGACTACAAAAGGCAAGTGGACCCAACAAATGCAAAGCTTCTACTGTAGTTTCACATTAATATCAGGCTCTGCCAGCTGGTTGTTAAAGGGATAGTTCAGATTTGTTGAAGTGAGTTTGTACGGGGTACTTTTCCATAGAGAGTATATTATAAACAGTAGAAGGGGTTTAGCCACTTAAAAAAGTTCCATCTAAATAATCAGCATCAGGTTAAGTGTATGTTTTCTTGAGAGTATTCTCACTGCTTCACCCTAATGTCAGACAGTGATTTTCAACTGGAAAATAAAGCCGTCATAAAGCTGTCTTCAAAGCCAGACTCCATTGAGAAAAACTGTGATTTAACATTGCTGCACACAGGAGCTGCTGGTCTACTGCTGCCTCCATCAGTTAACTTGTATGTGTTATTGTGTGAATTTGGCATTTGACATGGTTAGTTTGGATTCACAAAGAGGTTGGTGGCTTTAACCAGAGCAAAGATGGGGAACTGAAGCCGTTGACAGCACCTCCGTTGAAACAAGCAGTGAAAACACTCTCAATATAGTGGACACTTAACTGACATTGATGTTTTTCTTTTTAGGTGGGACTTTTTTAGGTGGCTACAATATGTTTTGTTGCTGGCCCCTGCATATCTAAGAGCGTGCTAACTGATATCTACTGTGTGTAATACACTGACTATGGATAAGTACCCCACAGAACCCCATTTTGAAAAATCTGAACTACCCCTTTAAATGACAAATGCCGAGAGACACAGTTAAGGTGTTAAAATCCAATGTCAAGTTAGGGTTTTATTCAGTAACAGCCCCCAGAGTTCAGAGGAAGTCATCTACAGGGTCGCAGGAAACACACTGTGCACTTGAAGGGCAAACTCAGTATGTGATGAGACAACCGTAAGGCACATTTATACGGATTAAAATAAACTTTAAAGAAACTTTCAGCACAACATAAAACAGAGAACATCAAAATATAGTGTTAGTGGATCCAAGAGATGTAATACAGGTTCTAAAAATGACACATACATGGTCTATAAAGCACCATTGCTTTTATATATGCAACTTGAAAACTATGTGATTAATTATGTGGCAACTTCACCTTCTTTACAATATTCAAAATGCTACATATCTGAAAAGTGAAACTGATATTCATCTTTAATCTGAACTCTTTTTTTTTCCTGTTATCTTTTAGTTTTAAAGCAAGAACAAAAACAGTACTGCCCAGCCAAAAGATTCAATAGATATTTTAGGGATATTTAAGAATAAAACTCTGGAGGAAAAAAAATAACAGAACAAAATGCCACAACACAGAAACAGCACGAGAGGAAAAAGCACTGCGAGAGATCTGATCCATCTGCATCTACAGGCGTAGATAAGGACAAAGTACCAGAACACAAACACTAAAAACACTATCTTAAACATTAGTTTTGTCTTTTTAAATACGTAACGTAGATGTGACAAAGCTCTATAATTCATACTCTTAAAGTGGTCACCACACGAAGACGATTACCTCAAAAAAATAGTGAGAATAAGAAAAATACTTTGAGTACAGGAAAGGAGAGGAAAGCTTGTTTTTATACAACGCATTCTGTCGATGTGATCACTGACATCAGTTGGGTGAAAACTACAGTCTACAGGTTGAAAATAAGAACTCTGACCTGGCTCCTAGTTCATTGTGTATTAGGTCGACTAATAATATTCTGTATCAAAGCGTTCTAATATGGGCAGCCGCTCCGTGTCAACACTTACAAGAAAAACTGGCCTCGTCCTAATCATGAAGAATAACACGTACACTCCACTTCCAAGTCACATCGCATGAAGTGTGTAAGCCTACAATATGTAAGTCAGATCATTTGTACAAGCTATCAGTTTGATGATGAGGCGAGCTATGTTGCTGGCTATAACGAGCTTAATGAAATAATTGCACAATAAGAAAAACCCTGTCATCACTTGGCGCTAGTTACCTGACCGAGAAAGCGTGAGAGGAACAAGTTTAGATAAATCAGATTTAAGGAGAGAAAATAGACAAAAAAAGGAAAAACAAAACTTAACAATATTCAACTTACAGTAGACTACATGTATTGCAATATATGTTTATTAGTGTGTCTGTGAGCGAGACACAAAAAAATAAGAGTCTTGTAGGTAGAGTAAGAACATAAAAAATAAATGAGAAACAAAGCTGATATTGTAAAGTATCCGGTCGATTTGGATTAAATAACGTGGGGAGATCTGATGAAAGCTAAAATGTCTCATAACAGAAAAAAAGACAAATTATAAGAACTAAAATAAAATGCATTAATTTTGACCCAAACTGAAGTAATGCTGCTGTGCACCAGTTGTGAGAATGAACAAACAGAGCAGGTGAGGATGTCATAGTGACTCAGATGGGATGGATTCAGGCAGAGAGGCAGGTAGATGATTGTAGAGGTGTGTCTGTCTGTACATGTGGAGAAGGCTCCAGCAGAGTTGGGTATCATTTATATTCTGATTCTGCTTATTAATGCAAATTCTCAGGTGTTTTTGAGAATGAACTGAAAGAAAAACACCTATCTTAAGATGACTCTCCGTTATAATTAAGTGTTTTAAGATTTAAAAAAAGAAATATTGTCTATGCGGTACAACAACACAGGCTGCTGTAAGTATTAAAAGATAACCACGGAGTAGGGGGAGGAGGGTAGCCTGAAATTCTGATGAAAAAAACTCAGAATTTCCGAGATTATTGTCAAAAATCGATTCTATTAAAACCTGGATATTCTGAAATTATAAAGTCATAAATTTGTGAGATTACATTTTTCGGCAATGAACCACATCATTGCACTTTGCAGGGTTGGATCAACAGCACCTTTTTTTTTTTTTTACGGTACACTAATGGGACAGTTTGTATTAAATAAGACCAAGAACATATTTATTAGTGTAAGATATTTATCAAGCTTATATATGGCTGTGTAAACCCCCCCAGGTGTGAGAGCCCTGGGAGAATAACAGGCAGATGTTTGTGCATGACACAGACAGATTTCAGGTTGCGATAGCAATTAGCTTAGCATGAGACTCACATTATTCTGCTCAGCTAACAGATATTTTGGCACTATTGAAACATGTGTCGATGCATTATTTGCTCGGTCACATACAAACGGGCAACGAGGTTGAACAGCCAGGCGTTCCTGCTTTGAAACACCAGAGTCAAGTGAACTGCAAGACACAAACAAAATACATTTGTTAAAACATCACATGGCTGTTCATGCAACTTGTGTATTAATATATTCAAATCTGTGCCGCAATCAGCCATTTACGTCCAGTCATTTCTATTTATTATTAACTAGAGATTTTGTGAATTTAAATAAGAGAATGTCTGAGTTTTTTCTTACAAATTTATGACTTTTTAACCTCAGATTATATATTTAATTTTTTTAATTGTAAATTTACGACTTTAAAGCTGTATTTACTGAAACTGTCTATGTCCTGACAGTAGTACTTGAGACGGATAATGGAGGGATGAAACATGTTTTTCTAGCTCCTCCTGCTGCTCCTAATGGCATTTGTTAGAATCCAGCGCACCTGAATGATGACAACCAATCAGAGCCAGGTGGAGTCCCTAATGCAGTGTCAATCGTTGCGCGTGCAAACGCTCAAAGCCAACAACAACGTACACGACATAGACAAGAAAACAGAAGACGACGGGTGAAAAGTTTGCTCTCACTTTCACAAGTTATGTACGCTGTTTTTGGCTTCGAGCGTTTGTACGAGCTGTAACTGACACTGCATTAGGGACTCCACCTGGCTCTGACTGGGTGTTAGGAGACTTTCTGTCTTACATACTACTGTCAAGATATAGTAACTGTTTGCGCAAATATGGCACATGTAGCTTTAATTTTGAAATGATCACATTTTTATTATTAGTATTACCCTAATACACTGTCATAATATTGCCATTTACAGATTGGATGTCCTAAGCTAGCATTATGTGATTTGGGAGCGGTGTCTTTTAAGTCGTCTTTTTTGGGGGGATTCAACAAGCAGAATCAAAGAGCATACTTTGTTCAGAATCAGTTCATGATACCCAACTTTTGCTTGAGGCTTAGACTGGGACTAGGAAAGTGGGCTGGGTCTAATTGCTGGTCAGATACACAAAGTGAAAGAACACAGTGTCTAGGTAGATAGTACTTCTCCTCGGAGCCAAATGATTTAGCTAATAAAGAGAAGGTAGGTCTGGGAACTGAGCTGCATAGAGTTCATATCAGGGTGTAGGTCTGTGGCACAGACCGGGCCTGGATAAGACACAGGTTGTAGGATTGGATCCCATACCACTAATGCCCCTTTTACCAAAGGCCCGGGAACAGAGAGCGTTTACATCAAACCCAGTGCTCTGCAATAAGTCAGGGTGTGTTTTTGACAGTGTTGCATCATTTTTACTTAGTTAATTGTCCCCCGTTGACTTTTTTTTTCCTCGGAGTGACCCATGTTATATATGTGTGGTCGGCTCAATGCAGGGTTGTACACTGTTGTTCGACCTGCATCTCATTTGAGTTGAGCGGAAAAAGGGGTTTAAGTGGCTTGACCCTGATATCTCAGCAACAGAATGTGGTCATGAATACCAATCCCCATAGGTAGCTTAGCCTCAGGGCTCTCAGGAGGCCCAGAGGTACGAAGGTAAAGAAAGGCTTAAAGTTACAATCTCGAAGATCTTCATTGCGTTGTCTTTGGCGGCACCCAAGGTGATAGGCAGTAACTGCATTGTGTTTGTTGGCAGACTCAGGCTTGAAACCAGGCTGGTGAATTATTCTATATTGGCTCGTTTTGTGAGCTCTGCAGCTGGTGAGATGAAGGGGTTACCACAGCCGAGACGGTGTGTGTTTATATGTTTCTGAGTATTTGTGAATGGATTATTAATGACTTTGTGCGGCTTGTGAATTCTTCTGGGAATGTTGCCACATACACCCTGTTTGTAATACTGCAAAAGCAAGGGCTTTCATCATTGGGCCACAGGCTCAGTCACCACCGCCTCATTCAGCGACAGATAGTGACGTAACAGACACTTATTGAAATGAAAATCTTCGAGAGTATTACTTTATGTCTCAGGCTGCAGGTTGAGGCTTAGGGTTGGGATTAAGTCCGGGTCTATGGCAGATTTGAGTCTGGGGCTTTAGGTGGCCTGGTCCAGGGCTCGCAGCAGGTCACAGCCCTGAAGGAGGTGCAGGCTGCCCTGTAGCGGGACGTTTACCTCGCAGTCGTAACGGGTCAACTCTGGCAGAAAGGTGGCCTCAAAGGAAGGGCCCAGCAAGCGACTAGCAATACCTAGAAAATGAAAGAAAAACTGTGAAAAAATGTGTGTACCAATGATTGAATACAAGCAGGCAGTGACATCAGTAACAGTCTCAATTCTATTAAGTTATGTTGGACTGTAACATTATCTAAAAACCTTATTTTCTTGAAGGTGAAGCGTGTAAGATTTAGGGGGATTTTGTGGCATCTGTCACTGTTCATTGTTCAGAAAGTTTATTTCAGTAGCCAAATTATCCACAGAGGTTTCTTCGTCTCCAAAACAAACAAACCAGGTGATTAGAATCGCTAAAAACGCTGAATAAAGCAGTCTCACATTACAAATCAGTGCTTCTCCGAAGCTAAAAAAACACAGTTTCATGTTACGAGTCCATGTATTTCCGACCGCCTTTGGCATGTCGCTGCAGGCAGCTAGTGCAACACATGATAATGTGCAGTCACCTTTTTTTTCCTGATAACTTACGACCAGATATTAAGACAGTTTACCGAAAGCCGAATTATCCTAAAAGGTATTTTCCTCTCTAAACATGCGAAAATGTGAATAGCCTTAAATAGAGCCAATGTTCAGTTTGTCTGTTCTTGTGTACTGTAGAAATGTCTGTGATGCAACATGGCGATCTCCATAAACAAAGACTTGTTTCCTCCGTGGATAATAACGGCTCATGCTAAGGTAAGGAGAACACAACAATTATATTTTACACTAAAGAAACATACTTAAATTATATTCACTTTCTGCCAATATATCCCTTTAAATCCTACACACTGATCCCTTAAAACAACATCAATGTGACGGTTAAGTAAAAATGATCAGAGTAAACATGAACTAAGTTTCTTTGCTTAAGAACCTGATTGAAAAATACTTACTGGCAGTTCTCTTGTTTTAATGAAATACAGCTTGAAAGCTTCAGTTGGAAACATTTACGAAAAACAACTCTTCTCATATTTGCTGAAAGTGTCACTTTATTAACACAGCACTAAATGAGACTGATATTCTGTGAAAAAAGTCATACTCCTTTGCCTGCACTATTGCCTTGTAGTAGAGGGCTGCATTGGGATTGGGTCCCGCCGGGTCCCGTAGGACCCAACCCAAATCTTGTGGGAGCGGGCGGTTTGAACGGCTAAAAAAACACTGCGGGATCGGGATGTAGCCTATAGCGACAGGATGGAGTTAACAAATGTTGTGGAAAAGAAGCTCAAACAAGGTCTGAAGGCGCACTGAGCCCTCTACTTCCCAGCGCTCTCAAAGCTGGCATGTTTCATCTTCAGCATCCCCGCATCCAGTGCACATTCAGAGCGGGCCTTTAGTGTCTGTGGGCACATGTTGGAAGAGAGACGCGCGGGATTGGGACCGCAGTCGGTCAGCAACATTCTCTTCCTCCACAGCAATATTATGGCCAAGTGATTCATTTGTTAAATTCATTCGTTTCATTTGTTAACTTTGTTTATTTTATGTTATTTATTAGTGTTATTTGAGCCACTCACAGCCTACTCTTGTTGCTATTTGTTAATTACATAAAGAGGCGTGATGATGCCGGTGTTATTGAGCATAGGCTTTATCTTTATCTCATTAATGTTTCTTATTCAGGTCTCTCTTAGAAAAGAGACCTTAACTTCAATCACTGCGTGATTATATAAAGGTAGAAAAATAAATAAATACAGAGGAGGAGAATAGAATATGAAACAGCCTTTATTTCATTAAAAACTAAATGAAAACAACGAAATAGGAGCGCTATTCCTGACCAGTGCGTCAAAAGACATGCAGGCCCGGGAAACGAAACAAACAACCCCATGAATCTCTTTATTAATAGCCTATAAAATGACGTGTTTTCTCCTGCGGGACGGGGGAAGACACAAAATCAATGCATCTCTATTATTGTGCGGGCATAAATTCTCAGTTTTGCGGTTACAGGCGGTAATGGTCAGAAATTCAGCGGGAACGGGCAGGAGCGGGATGAAGAAAACAGTCCCGCGCAGGGCTCTAGCTTGTAGCATTTCTAATGGCTTTTGTGCATGTGAACGAAAACTGTTGTCGAATGTGAACTGCTGTCAAACTGTCAAACTAGGCAGAGCTGATAATATATGAATCAAGATTCTGATACTGCTGTGCCTATTTCTCCCCCTTAAATGTTTTTCAGAAACATTTCAGTGACTGTTTAGCTGTGAAATAATTAAGTTTGTGACCTGGCTGCCATTTTGGATTCAGTTGAACAGGGGTACCAAGCACCACCCACAGGCTGGACATGACTTTTTTTCCACACATCATCTGTCTCATGTACTTCTTTCAGAACATAGTGACAGTTTCAGCAAACATGACAAAGTTATATCCATAAAGGTTACCAACTGTAGCAACTCAACTACAGGCTGAAATGATCACATAGTGATCTGAGCTTCTCGGCACTAAAACTCTGGATTGTAAAGAGTAAAGTCTGATCAACTCACCTTCACCCTTCTTGTTGGAAGGCAGCATGTTATACTCTGTGTAGCTGCAGCTCTTTTGAGAAAAGGGCTTCTCATTTGTCCTGCTTCCAGGATACTGAGACTTTCTGTGTTGCTGCAGAGAGCTGAGACACGAGGTCATGCTGCCTGGCATCATCCTGCCCATATCTGACACTGAGACAGAGTAACAGAGGGATTACAGGTACAGCTCTTGGTGGGAACAAATGATAGCATGACATGTTTTTGCGCACATACCTGCCAGTGATCCCGCACTGAGGGAGCGATCCATGGCTGCGCAACTGTCACCCCTCATCTTCTTCCATATGATTTCTGGTGGCGTGCTTTCACCCTGAAACACAGCCACATGGTTAATTACTTAATTAGCTCCTTTGTCCACAAAATAAGAGTGAATTCCCCGTCACAGCTTTGTTTAAGTATAAATAATGAATGGGATGTCCCGATCCCAACCAGAGTCATTTAATATTGAGAATCGGCCAGTACTGAGTCTTGATCTGATAATTGTGTTTTCCTAGACAGTACAGCTGCACAGTGTTGACGTCAAGTGCTTTCAAGTTATTCAAATCAATCCAGTAGACATGTTTGAGAACTGAATGGCTCTGCAATGCTGTTGGGGAAAAAGTTCCCTGCGTCCAAACTGTTCCTTAAATAATCTCTTTAATTGGCCTTGTCGCTGTTTTGGAGGGATGTTTCTCTCCTTTTGCGAGAGTATTCTTTAGTGCAGCCTTGCCTGAGTTAGCCTACCTGACTGAACTGTAGCCTTGATTGTCTTCTACATTATTTATATTACTCTTATTGGCTTTATGCTAGCAGGCTGTTGTTGCACTAGTAGCAGTGTGGTGAGTGTGGCTGTCAACTTCAGCCCCTGATTTTGGAGTTGTCCTCGTCTACGGAGTCCACAACGTTACATTGCTGTGTTTCTACAGTAGCCCAGAATGGACAAACCAAACCTGTACCTGACTTGCCAAACAGTGTTGGAGAAACACTGATTTGGAATGTGAAACTGCTTTAGTGTTTTTACCGGTTTAAATCACCAGGGGTCTCATTTATAAAAAAGCGCATAGGGCCATACTAAAAATGTACGTATGGACATTAACCAAAATGGTGTGAACTGAAAAATATTAGACAATTTCACGTCTCTAAGATGTTTGTAAGCATGGGTCAAAGTTTCCTACATCAAGTCTGTTTTTATAGATCACAACTTTTGCATGGAAAGTGGCATACGCCTCTTTCAGGCCTTGTTTCCTGCATACACAACAGTTAAACATGAGTCCCTGGTCTGTTTGTTTTAGAGAGGAAGAGACCTCTGCGGATAATTTAGCTCACTGCTAGATGCCTCTAAATTCCCCTGAATCTTACACAAGTGAAACTGTCTCAAACCTGTCACTATGAGACAGTTACTCTGGATAATCTGCCCTATTTTATGCTCTAATGATTCTCAAGACCTCTCAGGACCTTTTCCAACCGAAACTGGATGGATTAATTCCTGCATGTTTATCAGAGAAACTTACCACAACCATCTGGTTGAAGGAGCGCTTGATGCTGTTGGCCATGGCCACTCTGGCTGGACTCATGTCCCTGTAGACTTGTACAAAATTGTCAATGGACCTACACACACAAAAACACAAACACATTCAAATGTAATACTAAAACAGCCAGCTATGGTCGATCTACTAACAGGATGGATCAACATAACACTGTCTGTTTACATGTATTCATCACTGCATGTATAAATATGTGAGGTATTTAAAGCCTTATTTCTTATCTTATTTCTAGGTTTAAAATGTGACTGTGTTGGTTGTTACATCACCTCTGTTTCTGCATAAGGTGTGGCATGTTCTGTTGGCAGGATGGGCGCTCCTCTCCTGACAAAGTGTCCATCAGGCAGGCCTTGGTGGCTCGTGGTTGTTGTTGGTAGGTTAACAGAGGGTCCGGTGGCCAGTGCAGATTCTGCCAGCCTTCCAGGGCAGATGGACGCCAGCTGGAACCCGTTGAGGGAGGACTGTGCACTTGCCCCGTCATAAAACGAGGGTCTGAGGTCCTCTGGTTGGAGCCTCTCTTCTCCCCTGCACCCCAGGACGCAGCTTGCTGGTGCTGGAAGTGGCCTTGGTGCTGAGGAGAGGACAGGGGCTGGAAGAGGCTGGCGATGTTGCTGAAGCTCTGTGGGTTGGCCTGGTGTGTTTGGGACAGGCTGCTGTTGCTCCCCATGGATCCTGTTGAACCTCCCTCCAGGGACTCAGACTCTGGGATGATGGGATTCAGCTGGAAGTCCTCACCGTCCATCTGGATGTAAGGAGCTAAGGTCTCCAGGTCGAGGTCACTCAAGTCCCTCTGGAGAAGATAAAGACATGCATGTTACCCTGCTGCCCAGCTGATGTTTTTGCCTTCTTGAACTGGTACATTTTTTGAGGTACATAAATGCAAACTCATGTCGTTTAGACAAAATTGTTCAAACCTAGAAAAAGACTCCAGCTGGCCTTATCAATACAGCCCAGAGCCCCACTGAAATGGACTCTTGCCCAACTAAATTGAAGTGATTCACACTGGGTATATTTCTGTTTTTGTGTACGCTGAATTTAAATAAGGTCCAGGGACGGATCTCCTGGATCTGTGACAGAGGCCTGGTCTAGGCACCAGATGTGCTCAGCGTGCCAGATTGCCTCAGGGTCCTGATTCTCTGGATGACTTCAAGACATTATGACTCACTGTATGTTAAAGTGTACAGAAGCCCTACCTGATACGTTTAATGCAGACAGAATGTTTGTTTTCGATTCTTTGCTGTGCGTAATGAATAAAGAATTTTAAAATGTAAAATCTTAAGTACAGATGGTTCATTGTCTTTGTTAAAATACCTATAACTAAAGAAAGATGTATTTTTAAGATGTAAAACTGTGTACCAGGCTGCAGCAAGACGTTTCTGCACAGCACAGTATTCAAAACATAAAAATTGTGTGTCAATTACAATTACAGCCTCACAATTGAATGCCTCTGCGCACCCGACATGTTGCACAGTTGCAGTTACAACTCAAGTGTGTGCGTGAAGCATTCATGTCCATGTAACATTAATGCTTCACACACATTCCCCTGCCCCATCAGCACAAAAGATCTATACAGTCAGCACAGTTTCAATATCAGTGTCACCAATTCAGTATCTGACCAAATGTCTTACCTTCTGTTTCCGAGATATGACGTTGAATAATGGCCAGAAAGTTTTTGTAAAACATTATGATGTCACAGTGAAATTGACGATTGTTATGGCCACTTTTTTGACCAACAAAATCTAATCTGTTTCTTTGAGTCCAAGTGGACGTTCGTGCCAAATTATAAAAATTCACCTAGCTGATCTGGCAGGCCAGTTACACTTGATAAAATCTAGAAACTTGCGCCTCTCCATTTAATAAAAGTGAGTCCCGACTGGCACTCCGGCACAGAGCTTTTATTTTGAAGTGCCGTTTCCTGCTGTAGAATGACTAACTGACAGACAGCTACTAGACAGAAACAGCAAATTAGCTCGACAGCATGGCCAAATGCAAGTATGACACTAAATGTATTAAACTGTGTGGACCTTGAACTAATGACGAAGCAGAAATCTGGACCCTGTGGCTGGACCAGTCGGGAACCACTGCCCTACAATATATTGTTGCACATTCCTGTCTTGCTCGCTCATTTTAAACAGTAAATTCTTTCTGGTCTTTATTTATTTACCAGTGCCAGTTCCTTGTATTTTAAAACCTACTGTTAATAAACTGGATTTTGATTCTTAAAATAGAGAGACAGTTTGTTTGCATATACCACCGAGATTTTGGTTTCTGAAAGCAGATTGATGTGATTTTTTTGATGATAGTTTAGATAAGTGAACAACATTGCTTAGAAAAGAATGTTTAAAATGACAGATTTCTAACCAGAGAATGTTTAAAAAGGCAGTAATGATCCACTTCATATGAATAACAAATTGTCCTTCAACATGGGAAAAATCTTGCCCATCTTAAAAGACACTTTTGCCAAACAGGAAGAGAGACGAGGAAAACCAAGCTCTCAGTCAGATTCAGTTATCGTCGCCTCATAAATCAAACTAATGTTGTGTTAACAGAGGGGCAAAGTTTTAGACATAAGCATATTCATGGGACACACACCTCAGCGTTTGCAGGACTGTTGTTGCCATCTGTGTCCAGAGCAAACAGCTTCTCAGTCAGCTCCACCTTCAGTTCGTTCTCCACTGAGCTGTAGTAATCACCTGGGCTGCTGGGCTGCAGGGCAGGGAGGGGGCATGGAGGAGAGGAGAATAAAGGATGGTGTGAGACAGAGGAGGACAGAACCAAGATGATGAGCACAGGGAAAAAGGGACAAAACGTAAGAGACAGAACATTGTAAAAAGAAAGTGACAGACAAACAAAGAGCGAGAGATGAGGTTTGACAAAGGGCCTATTCACTGCTAAGAGCCGTCCAAATATCCACCCCCGTTATTCTCACACACATTGCCCACAGTTAGTGACCTTTAACCCCCCAGGCCTCACTGAACACAGAAAGAACAAACTATGGAAAAAAAAAAAAAAACAACCAGTAGCTCGCTCACTAATTACTCCTTTCAATTTAACACTCAGTCACTCGGTCTGGTCCTCACCGTGGAGCAGCTGCTGAGGCTTGGCGTGGCACTGCCGGGCGGCGGGTTCTGCTGCACGGTAAATGTACCAGCCATGTTAGTCATGTCTCTTGGAGCTGATGTCGCAGGAGCAGGCTTGTGGCTCTCACTGGTCCACGATGGAGGCCCTGGAGGGGGCATGGCTGCAGAGGAAGCCTGGGTGTATCCTGCTGGCTGCTGGGGCTCCTCAAACTGAGGGCGATCTGCAAGAAAGAAGCCAAAATAAGATTCAGTTGTTAAAAGACAGGATATAGAATAAATGTGCCATGTGGAGAGAGGGTTGACAAACACAAGACCACCAGATGATGCCGGTTTGTATGTATGTAGTTGCACATTTTAATAAATTTAAAATGTATTTAAAGTTGCCATGACATTATTGCTAACACAGTGAAACCAACAGAGGATGGAAGTAAATACAGACCAAAGTCAAGACTGATGATTGTGTCTCCAGGTGTCGGAGCCAGCTGGGCGAGATCCTCCGGCTCCTCTTTGAGTTTGGTGAAGAGGGCTTCTCCTGGCTCAGTCACGCCTGCACCTCCAGCAGTGAAGAAGCTGCTCAAGTGGCGCGGCTTGAACAGGGACTCCGTCTGCTTCAGGGAGAAAATCATCGACTTCTCCTCAATGTCACTGCAGGTTTGGAGACAGAGCAGAGTGAGTTGGGTTGTGTGTGCAGAGAACGCTTCCAGAGCGTATAAAAAACTTAAAGATGGATTTGGAGTTAACCATGTTTTGGTGAATCCCAGGTAAAAAGACATTTAAGCATTTAGGGTAAAAACATGACTGTCTTAAACTCAAATAACCACCTCACAGTTGTGCGCCTCCGTAAACCAGTCAAGTTGCAGTTTACATCCATGTCTGTGAAAACATGGACGCTTCACACACATCCCCCCCCCCGGCAGCACAGAAGATCTACACAATCAGCACAGTTTCAAGGTGGACAACCAAGATTAGTGTCACCAATTCAGTATCTGACCAAATGTCTCCCCTAAACTGGAGATACGACACTGAATTATGGCCTGAAAAGTGTTTTTGCAGAACCTTATGATGTCATAGTAATGCGGACCTTTGACATTTTGGATATAAAATGTCATCAATTCATAATTTTATTTTTCAGACATATTAGTGAAATTTTGTCATAATTAGTGTGTAAACTCTTGAGTTATGGCCCAAAAATATGTTTTATGGGGTCACTGTTTTGACCACCATAATCTAATCTGTTTATCTTTGAGTCCAACTGGACGTTCGTGCCAAATTATTAAAGTTCCTTAAGGTGTTCTTGAGATATTGATTTCATGAAAATGGGAAGGACGGACAACCCCAACGTGGCCTCTGCAGGCCTATCACATCTGGTAACTAATTTTAATCAATTCCTTCTTGAATCGCAGAGGACGTTTGTGCCAAATTTGAAAAAAAAAAAAAAAAAAATCCCTCAAGGTGTTGTTGAGATATCAGGTTCATAAGAATGAGACAGATGAGGTCATGGTGACCTCTAAATCTAATCAGTTCATTGTTGAGTCCAAGTGGAAGTTTGTGCAAAATTTGAAGAATTTAAAGGGAATGGGATAGATGGATGGACGCACAACCCAAAAACACAATGGCTGTGGCCACGGCTGTCACTGGCCCAGCATATGACAGGTGACACGACTGTTTACAGATACCCAGACATGTAGAACAATTGACACTTTTTGACCAAATTCAACCTGATTTTGACTCACGCATCTTTTCACTTATCATTTGCCATAACTCTTGGATGACGGCGCTCACCTGAGGACGTAGTTTATGCACACGATGCACTGTGGCTGGGAGTTGCGGCTGTTATAAATAACAGTTCCTTGCGTTTCGACCCAGACATAGCCTCCGTTCTTGGCCAGCATGCGGTACTGACTGCTCACGGCCTGACCCTTGGAACACACTGCAGAGAGAGAGAGAGAGGAAGAAAGAGCGACGTGTTAATGAGCTGTTGTGTTTGGTTAATTGAAGACAACTCAGGTGTGAGCTGAGCCATGTTTTATGTTGCTGTAAAAACTCCTTTCACTCCTCGTCTGCTAAGTCATATGAAACCCTTTAAAGACCTTTGAATAATGACCAGTGTATTATCATTCAGCTAAAGCAATTATTAAAGATCTACAGCTCCTGTGAGGTTTGGATAACACACATGGGAGCTCTTATTGTAATTGAACACTAACAAAATTATCATTGTTGATCTTGTGTAATGTTATGAGGTGCTTACATTTCATTGGCCAGCGCACTACAGTAAACACTGAAAACTGACCCTCCTGTTCGTGAGCTCACTTTTTATTCTACTATTTGCAGTCAAAGCTCAGAACAGCTGTTTTTTATGTGCTTTGTGTTTTTTGGTTATTTAAATGACTTTTTAATTTAGTAAATATCCATGCATGTATTTTCCACAAGGCTGTTAAATCAACCATACGTTGGTTAGCACGAGAAAGTGGGATGTTTGACTTTGAGCTGAGAGGGAGATGTTCTGGCTGCAGTCCAAAGTTCAGCACTGGCGTGGGAAAGAAGCAGATCTGTGGTCAGAGAGTGTGCACAAGGCCAGTGATTGTGTGTGTGTGTGTGTGTGTGTGTGTGTGTGTGTTTTGAGGAACCTCAGGGCAACATTGCATGTAGCAGAGAACGCTGTTAGCATGTGCTGATCGACAGGCTGGTCACGTTGGCCGTGAGAGCGGCCGTCTGTGTGTATGCGACACACAGAGAGAGAGAGATAGGGAAGCCTTTATCTCAGCAGATTTTGGCCAACTAAGGACTGTAGACACAGATGATTAGGACCAGAAGTGAAGGAACACCCCCCCCCACACACACACACACACACACACACACACACATTCAAACTGTTAAATCCACATACAACAGAACACATCATCTGTAGACATCCTGAGTCGTCAGGTCTTAATTTCAAGTCATTTCCTTCATTTTGTTTTTTAGCCTCAAAATACCGACAATAATATTTTCCAGAACGTCCTACATGATTGATATATGCTGTGTATTTATTGTTTCATGACAAATAATTCTTAAAGACCAAATCTACATGATTTAAGAAGATGCATTTGTCAAACCAAAATCATCACCAAATCAATGACAGATTCTGTAGCAGCAATCTCTGAACTCACTGACTCTCGGTCTGATGACGATAAGCCTCTGGGGACAATGGCCAATATTTCTGGAAGGTCCAGTGTAGCAACTGGATATTTGGGCCAAGACGTCCTCTTCTGTGCACCGGTCATTTCAACTAATAAATTACTGCATATGGATGCAGATAAATTTAAAACTAAAGTTACCGCCTCACAGTTGTACGCCTCCAGAAACTGGTCAAGTTGCAGTTACAGTTTTCATCCATGTTGGTGAAAACATTTATTTAAGTTTCTGCAGTGTACGCACACACACACACACACACACACACGCTGCCATTATGATGCAGAGGTGGCTTTAAGAACCTAAATGACCACTTGTCCTCTTGCACTGTCACTCTGTTGTTCAGAGCTTCTAATGATATAGTTTTGTCACTGGAGAAAAGCCATGACACTTCAGAGCCTTGTTAGCAAACACACACACACACACACACACACACACACACACACACACACTCGTGTCATTAGAATGTAATAGAGGCCACCTGGTCCCCTGTCCAGTGTGTTTGTGGCAGCAGATGTGCAAACCTCATCAGGCCATCCATGGCTGCGCTTAATTTAATAAAGCCATCCTAATACCATGCCCCTGCTCTGTACTCTCTCTCTCTCTCTCTCTCTCTCTCTCTCTCTCTCTCTCTCTCTCTCTCTCTCTCTCTCCCCCCCCCCCCCCCCCACACACCCACACACACCCAAACTTATAAAGACACACACCCCGATTTTTTTTTTTTTTAGTCATCCCTAGGGGAGGTGCGCTGGTTTTAACATACCTGCATGGGTCTATAATATAATACATAGTTTTTTTGACGTGCATTAATATAGCTTTTATTTAATTAAGTGTGTGTGCACGTGTCTCTAACTCAAAAGAAGTCATAGTAAAGTATGTTGAAAAAAGTCATAATATATTACATCAAAAAAGTCATAGTATAGCATGTCGAAAAAAGTCAGTGTAGCATGTCGAAAAAGTCATAGTATAACATGTCGAAAAAAGTTATAGTATAACATGTTGAAAAAGTCATAGTGTAGCATGTCGAATGAAGTCATAGTATAGCATATCGAAAAAAGTCATAG